CTTGAAGAAGTTCAAGATGGTCATAAATGTGCATATGTAACCTTTAAGGAAAAAAATAAAATATCTAGGTCATAAAATAAATCATCTGATTTTTTCTTGTTGTTTTACCATGCAGTTATAATTCTCTGCTTGCTACAGTGAACATTTGTCTGCTCAGAGTTCTATTGGAAAATACACTTTATTAACCCAAACTTACCTACTCCCACCGTGTTCACAATGTTATAATACAATATTTAATAATAGCCCTAAAGTGAAAATAAGACCTTAGAAGATACTGAATTACTTTCTGACACATAGAGATTAATTAACTCATAGAGTATCTGCCTCACTTAGATTAACTCAGTTGGCTAAGGCATTTGAGAAAACAGAATCCAAATCTTAATCATTCTAGTAAAATTTACCCTGTATGTAGTTGATACTTAAAAAATGTAAGGAGGGCTTCCCTGGTGGCGCAGTGGTTGAGAGCCCACCTGTCGATACAGGGGACACGGGTTCGTGCCCCGGTCCGGGAAGATCCCACATGCCGCAGAGCAGCTGGGCCCGTGAGCCATGGCTGCTGAGCCTGCGCGTCTGGAGCCTATGCTCCGCAATGGGAGAGGCCACAACAGTGAGAGGCCCGCGCACCGCAAAAAAAAAAAAAAAAAAAAGTAAGGAAAATTCACAGAATTATAGAAAAGATACCTAAAACAAGGTGGGAAGATAACAGTAGAAATATTAGTGGGTCTCTCAAGCCTGTGCTTAGTATTTATTAGTTTAGATAATTCTAAGTGTTTAACTTATGAGAATTAACTGAAAATTAGGAGACTTGAAAGCTAAGATCTGGAGATAGAAGGGGTCAAGAGAATGAGTCCAACCCCCTCATTTTACTGAGGAGAAAACCAAAGCCCAGAGGTTAAGTGATTAGGCTGGGACCAATATCTAAGTCTGATGTCCCACTCAATGTATTTTCCAAAACAGGACATAAGAAGAATATACAAAATGTAGCCTAAGGTTTGGGGGAGGGGGAAGTACACCTATTGCTGGGCAGGCATGGAGACTATCAGCATTTAAAGAACCAGTTACTAGGAGTCAAGCATTATTCTAGACATTTTTATGTGTCTATTGTGCTTGATCTCATAGCACCCCTATGAAGAAGGTACCATGCTTGGTTTAGAGATAAAGGAACTGAAGCTCAGAGAGGTCATCCTGACCCTAAGGTCTATGCATTTCCACTGTACTTGCCCCAGACACGGACTGATCCTATTTCTCTGGCCATTGGTTGACTTCTGAATGTACTATTAGCTCACACGCCCTTTTGACAAATGTGTACGAAGCCTTTGCTTTGTGCCAAAACCCCTCCTGGGAGTTGGCTGTGCATTGAGGAACAAAAGAGGTTTGACCCCTGCCCTCAGAGAGACAGTGGACACAGGAACCAGCTCTACTATTTCTTAACCCAAGAGTGTCTCTTTTGCTCTTTCAGGCCTGGCTACCCTCACTTCAGACCACTCTTTGGAAGCTCTGATAATGATCAGATCCTCAGTAAAATCATTTGAAAACTTAATATTAGCCTTTCATATTCTACTTCTCCTCTGAAAGGATATTAATGCAAATAGTTTCAATAACAGTTGGCAAACACATTTTACACAGTGGTTTTCCACAGTATGGAAATACCAAACTTCAAAATTGCTTCAGGATTAAATACATTCTTAAAATTTTACATTTTTGAAGGTTCATTAATTTAAATATGCTGGAATCTAAGCATAGAGCAATACTTTTTAAAAGTTGAGTTTATTTTTAGACTCTATTCAATAGAGATCAATCAGGAAAAAAGTGACCATAAAGCATAGACCACAGGAATTGTGACAGTATAATGCCTGAAACACCAGTGCTGAAAATATAAACCATTCTTATATCGTATGTAAAATATATCCTATGAATAACATAAAAGAGTACTCAAAAGAATGAATAGCTTGGTATATGGTCTTGTCCAGTCATTTTATGAATATCCACTGTCAAATTCACATACATAACTTTGTCTCATGTTTGAAAACAATGCTAATCATTCTGTCACCAATCGGGCCTGTATAGGTGCAGCCCAGATAAGAATGATGCATGTTAGAGGGGCGTGTGTATACTGCCTAGATGAGATCGGTCCTTGATTTGCAGCCACAGCTGCTAATGACCAAGCATACAACTATTTTCAACCACTCCACCTAGATTCACACTCTACTCTGCCCTGTTGCTTTAAAAAGCACCAGGATGCTTGCCTGCTTCCACTGTGTCCTGGCAAGCCATCATTCTACAGACTGATTTTAATTTGAGCTTGGCATGTCACCACACGTGTGTGGGAGCATCAATCTTCAGAAACATGATGACTGTGTTCTTGAAGCACACATGTGGGATGTCATGCAAAAGACTATAGAGCACTTTGAAGAGTTAACACTCTATCCCAGAGTGATGATAAATCCCTAGATGTGCACTTCCACATAACAGAGATCCTCCATGGTATCGCAGAGATGAAAAGTGCCATCCACCAGTGCTCTCTCCCATGATGTGCTGACAAGGAAGCACAGTGATACCTCAATTTACAAATCCACTGGAAAAAAAATGCCCTTTGAGGAAATTTGGTCTGGGTGAGGGAAAGTTCCTGACTCTTCAGTGCTTTGGCGGCTGCTGAGTCAGATCAGGCATTTTTTCTGTAAATCTTTCCCTGACCCACAAAGCAGACTTGATCCTTTCCTCCTTGTACCTCTACTAGCCCTTAGATATGCCCCTATTATTGCACAAACTTATGTTCCCCTCCTGTACTAGACTCAGCTCTGCTTCTTCTCTAGCATGTTGTATAGTGTCTGGCATGATATTTTTGTTGATTGAAGATGGATGGATGGATGGATGGATGGATGGATGGAGAGGAGGAAATAAGACTCATCTCTAAGTGAAACTTGGCTGGTTGAACTAGAGCCAACATACCCACTGCTTCTATAGTTAAATCAACTTAGAGAGTAAAACGGAGGGAAGTAATGTCTGAGCAATAGTCATATGACATCTATGTCACTTGATGGGAGGATCTACAGAAAGGAGAAGAAGCATCCTCCATTTTAACCAAGGGTCTTGGGGATCAGGTTCCCTCCTGATTTGAGGAGAAAAGGGAAGGTTATTACTCTGTCAAGGTCCAAGGAAGAAGGCAAACAAGAATGGTCTAGAAAAGAATAGGAGTTTTGAAATTTGACACAATTGGGGACCAACCAGAATTTAGCCAATTAATAGTTAGTTGGGGGCTTCGCGGGTGGCGCAGTGGTTGAGAGTCCGCCTGCCGATGCAGGGCACACGGGTTCGTGTCCCGGTCCGGGAAGATCCCACATGCCGCGGAGCAGCTGGGCCCCTGAGCCATGGCCGCTGAGCCTGCGCATCTGGAGCCTGTGATCCGCAATGGGAGAGGCCACAAAAGTGAGAGGCCCGTGTACCACCAAAAAAAAAAAAAAAGACAATAGCTAGTTGGGTGATTTGGACAAGTTGTTCAGTTTCACTGAATCCCTGGTTCTCCATTTATAAGTTGAAAATCATAATAGCAATCTTGCAGTGTGGATATAAGAATTCAAAATAGCATCTGTAAAGTTTCTGGCACAGAGAGGCACTCAATAAATAGTTTTATTTACAATCATGCTTAGGTTTATTTTTTAGTTATGTAACAAAGTCTTTATGTTACTCTTGTTAGAAGTATTCTCTTGTTAATTGAGATATATCTGTAGGAAAAATAATTCTGTTTAGAAGAGATAATTAATTATTTAACACCTAACATCAGGCATAGTACTCATCAGGGAAGAGGGCCTGTATATTCTTTGTAAATTGTCAGTTAAAGTGAGTTGGCCACAAAAAGATCCGTACCTGCAAGGCTGAGCTACACAGTCTCTAAATAAGAAGGTTAGACTTGATAGGTAGGGAACTAAGCATTTAATGGATACAGACATATCTACCTACCTACATGCATAAGAAGGAGCTCCATAGTTGCTATTAATATTCAGGTATTTTGCTGATATGCATCTTCTACAATTATAGAACACAAATGTGGACTCAGAATATCTCTGAGTTGATTATGTCCTCATGAATCCTAGCACTAGGTTCTTAAGATGTTAATCTTTTCTTTCTTCAGAACAAGTAAAATTGGCCTCAAGAATAAACAAGTTACTTAAGAGAAGCATGACTGATGAGTCACTCTGAATGTTGCTGAACAATTCACAGGCTGTTATAGCTACAGGACCCTGTGTCCCAAACTCAACTATTGGACTTTGAGAATCACCACCCATCCTGCCTTGCCTTCAGATGACCCTCATACTAGAAGATGATAGTTGCATCAGAGAGACTGCTGACTCTCCATGTCTTAAGACATTCCTCTGAAGCCTACTCACCCTCACTCCTCTGAAGTGACTTGTTCTCTACAATTACCTTATCATCTCCATGCTTCAACCTATTTTCATAATTTTTCCAGAACCCTAATCTCAGTCAGATGTTAGCAGATTTTATTATTAAAATGATATAAAATAAAGTCTGGATGACAGGGTATATCTGTATGATTTAAGTAGTCTGTTCAGTTTAAATAAATACTTAGTCACTTAAATAAAACTTAAGCACTTAGATCTGGGGCTCTTCCCCAACTCACCCATTTCCTGGTCCCCAAGAGGACCAGGGACCAGCAGCTTGCTTCCCTATTACAGATATACATTAATATGAGTTTTAAAACAATTGGAATTGATTGAGTTCCCAAGACACTGAAGTAGAAAGACACTTAGCTTACCTCCTCTCATGGGCACACCAAAATTACAACTATTTACAGAACAACTATTGATGAAAAAGGCCAGAACCTACCAGAAAAGATCTTCTACAACTAAAGAGATAAAGAAGAAACCACAATGAGATGGGTAAGAGGGGCAAAGTTGTGGTATACTCAAGACCCCAAACCCCCAACTGGGCAACACATAGATGGGAGAATAATTACCATTGCACAGGTTCTCCCCAAGAAGCAACTGGTCTGAACCCCACATCAGGCTCCCCAGCCTGGGGGTTCTGTGCCAGGAAGATGAGTCCCAGAATGTTTGGTTTTGAAGGCCAGCAGGGCTTACTTTTGGGAGACCCAGAGGGCTGGGGGAAAGAGAGATTCCACTCATAAAGGGCGCACACAAAATCTCACACACTCTGGGACCCAGAATAGAAGCAGTAATTTGAAAGGAGCCTGGGTCAGACCCACCTGTTGATCTTGGAGTGTCTCCTGGAGGGATAGAAGGCATCTGGAGCTCACCCTGGGGACCTAGACACTGGTGGAAGCCATTTTGGGGAACTCATTCTACCATGTGGACTCTGGTGCTGGCAATCACCATTTCGAAATCATCCCTCTAGCCTATTAGCCTCAGGACAAAGCCCCATCCCTGCCCACGAGCCTGTAGGCACCAGGACTGGGATGCCTCAGACCAAGCAATTAACTAGGCTGGGACATAGCCCTCCCAATGAGCAGACAGACTGTCTTAAGATCCCCTGAGCCCACAGTCACCCTTGGCCATGGCCCTGCCCTCCAGAGAGCCCAGGACCTGGCCCCACATGCCCTGGGCCCTGTCCATGCCTACCAAGCCTGATCTAGCTTCAGTACCAGCCTCACCTATCACCATCCCCAGGACAACCACAGCCCCACAGCCAGCAATGACTGCACCCATCCCAACCACCAGCAGGCCAGCACCCAGCTGGTCCACAGCCTTGGTCACCAGCAGGCTAACACAAGCTTCAGGACAACATGGACCACCATAGCTAGCTGTTCAGGAACTACCCCAAAACACCAGCAATCCAACACCATCTCTGAGATCCCTGGGCCCTGCAACCAGACTCCAAGATCTAGTTCTGCCAGCCAATGTGCCAGCACGAGCCTCAGGACCCGGCTTCACCCACTGGTAAGCAGGTACCAGATCCAGGATCTTCTGGACCCAACTCTGCCTACCAGTGAGCCAGCACGAGCTCCAGGGACCCCTCATGACCCTGGCCCACCAACCAGTGACCAGCAGCCTCCACACAAGGCATGGCTTGGCAACCAACGAAACTGGAGGCCAGCTCCACCTGTCAGACCACCTGCTATAGTTAGCCCAACACAACTGAAGGACCCACATGGCCCACATAAGGACAGTAACACAATAATAATAGGGGAATTCAATATCCCATTACATCAATGGACAGATCATCCAGACAGAAAAATTAATAAGGAAACACTGACCTTAAATGACACATTAGGCCAGATAGACTTAATAGAAATATATAGCACATTCCTTCCAAAAACAGCAGAATACACATTCTTTCCAAGTGCACATGGAACATCCTCTGGGATAGATCACATGCTAGGCCACAAAACAAGCCTTGGTAAATTTAAGAAAATAGAAAACACATCTAGCATCTTTTCTGGCAAAAACACCATGAGGCTGGAAATCACCTACAAGAAAAAAACTTCAAAAAACACAATATACTAAACAGTACGCTGCTAAACAACCAATGGATCACTGAAGAAATAAAAAAAAAATACTTGGAGACAAATGAAAACAAAAACACAATGATCCAAAATCTATGTGATTCTGCAAAAGCAGTTCGAAGAGGGAAGTTTATAGCTGTATAAGTTTACCTTAGGAAACAAGAAAAATCTCAAATAAACAACCTAACATTACACCTAAAAGAACTAGAAAGAGAAGAACAAACAAAACCCAAAGTTAGTAGAAAGAAATCATAAAGATCAGAGTAGAAATAAATGAAACAGAAACAACAACAACAAAAAATAAAAGATCAATGAAACTAAAAGCTGATTCTTTGAAAAGGTAAACAAAATTGATAAGATTTTAGCCAGACTCACCACAAAAAAAAGACAATAAGATCAGAAATGAAAAAGCAAAAGTTAAAACTGACACCACAGAAATACAAAGGATCATAAGAGACTACTATGAACAGCTATATGGCAATAAAATGGACAACCTAGAAGAAATGGACGAATTCTTAGAAAGGCACAACCTTCCAAGACTGAACCAGGAAGAAATATAAAATATGAACAGACCGAATACCAGTAATGAAATTGAATTGGTAATTTTAAAACTCCCAACACAGAAGTCTAGGACCAGATGGCTCCACAAGTGAATTCTACCAAACATTTAGAGAAGATTTAACACTTACGCTTCTGAAACTATTCCAAAAAATTGCAGAGGATGGAATACTTCTGAATTTATTCTATGAGGCCAGCATCACCCGGATACCAAAACCAGACAAAGCTATCACACATAAAAAAAATTACAGACCAATATCACTGATGAACATAGATACAAAAATCTTCAACAAAAGATGTTAACAAACCGAATCTAATACATTAAAAGGATCATACACCATGATCAAGTGGGATTTATCCCAGGGATGCAAGTATTTTTCAATATCTGCAAATCAATCAGTGTGATACACCACATTACAAACTGAAGAATAAAACCATATGATCATCTCAGTAGATGCAGAAAAGTTTTCGACAAAATTTAACACCCATTTACGATAAAATCTCTCCAGAACGTAGACATAAAGGGAGCATACCTCAACATAATAAAGGTCACATATGACAAACCCACAGCTAACATCATACTCAACGGTGAAAAGCTGAAAGCATTTCCTCTAAGATCAGGAGGAAGTCAAGGATGCCCATTTTTGCCACTTTTATTCAACATAGTATTGGGAGTCCCAGCACAGTAATCAGGCAAGAAAAAGAAATAAAAGGAATCCAAATTGGAAAGGAAGAAGTAAAACCATCACTGTTTGCAGATGATGTGATACTATCAATAGAAAATCCTGAAGATGCCACCAAAAAACGACCAGAGCTTATCAATGAATTTGGTAAAGTTGCAGAATGAAACTTAATACACAGAAATATCTTGCATTTCTATACATTAACAATGAACTATGAGAAAGAGAAAATAAGGAAAAAATCCCATTTATAGTTGCATCATAAAGAATAAAATACCTAGGAATAAACTACCTAGGGAGGCAAAAGACCTGTACTCATAAAACTATAAGACACTGATGAAAGAAACTGAAGACAACATAAACAGAAAGACACATTGTGTTCATGAACTGGAAGAATTAATATTGTTAATGTAAATTGTAAATGATTATACTACCCAAGGCAATCTACAGATTCAATGCAATCCCTATTAAAGTATCAGTGGCAGTTTTCACAGAACTAGAACAAAGTTTTTTAAAATTTGTGTGCAAATACAAAAGACCCTGAACAGCCAAAACAATCTTGAGAAAGAAGAACAGAGCTGGAGAAATCATGCTCCATGACTTCAGACTATCCTACAAAGCTACAGTAATCAAAATATTATGATACTGGCACAGAAACAGGCATATAGATCAGTGGAACAGAATGTAGAACCCAGAAATAAACCCACACATTTATGGTCAATTAATCTATGACAAAGTAGGCAAGAATATACAATGTCTTTTCAATGAGTAGTGCTAGAAAAACTGGACAGCTACACGAAAAAAAATGAAGTTAGAACACTTTCCCACACCATATACAAAAATAAACTCAAAAAGGTTTAAAGGCCTAAATGTAAGACTGGAAATCATAAAACTCCTAGAAGAAAACATAAGCAGAACATCCTTTGATATAAATCATAACAACATTTCTTAGATCTGTCTCCTAAGGCAGAGGAAACAAAAGCAAAAATAAACAAATGAGACCTAATTAAACTTAAAAGCTTTTGCACAGCAAAGGAAACCATTGATAAAATGAAAAGATAACCTATTGAACGGGAGAAAATATTTGAAAATTACATGACTTATAAGGGGTTAATATCCAAAATACATAAATAGCTCTTAAAACTCATCAAAAAACAAACAACCTGATTTAAAAATGGGCAGAAGACCTGAATAGACTTTTTTCCAAAGAAGACATACAGATGGCACATGAAAAGATGCTCAGCATCACTAATCATAGTTTTTTTTTTTGCAAATCAAAACCACATTGAGATATCACCTCACACTTGTCAGAATGGCTATCATCAAAAAGACCACAAATAACAAATGTTGGCAAGGATATGGAGAAAAGGGAACCCTTGTACACTGTTAGTGGGAGTGTAAATTGGTTTAGCCACTGTGGAAAACAGTATGGAAGGGCCTCAAAAAATTAAAAATAGAACTACCATATGATTCAGCAATTCCACTCCTGGGCATATGTCCAGAGAAAACAAAAACACTCATTTGAAAAGATATGTGCATCCCAATATTCAGAGCAGCACAGTAACCAAGATATGGAAGCAATCTAAGTGTCCATCAACAGAAGAATAGATAAAGAATAAGTAGTATATATATATATATATATATATATATATATATATATATATATATATATATATATATATATATATAAATAAATACAACACACACATAGACATTACATATATATATATATATATATATATACAACTGAATACTACTCAACCATAGAAAGGAAAAAATATTTTCCATTTGTAGCTACATGGTTGGACCTGGAGGGTATTATGCTTAGTGAAATATGTCAGATAGAGAAAGTCAAATACTGTATGTTATCACTTATATGTGGAATCTAAAAAATAAAATGAACTATTGAATATAACAAAAAAGAAACAGACTCACAGATACAGAGAGCAAACCAGTGATTACCAGTGGAGAGAAAGATGTGGGGAGGGGCAAAATAGGGAAAGGGGATTAAGAGGTACAAACTACTATGTGTAAAGTAAATAAGCAACAAGGTTATATTGTAAAGCACAGGTAATATAGCCAATATTTTCTAACTTTAAATGGAGTATGATCTATAAAAATTTTGAATCACTATGTGGTACATCTGAAATAATATAATATTCTAAACCAACTACACCTCAATAAAAACAAAACAAAACAAAACAAAACCCTCCTGAACTTCTTGAATGCCAGGGAGAAACATTATTAGAGAATAAAATCTAATGAAGTTAAAGTTTTAACTAGTGAGGAAAATATCTTTGTAAAGAGATTATACCAAATGTAATTCTTAATGAATTGAATTAAGTCATTCTTAAGTGAGAATCATTAACTTAAATTATGAAATTAGTTGTGTAAAATCACTTTTTGATCAGAGCATATAAATAATATATAAAGTGATAGAGTGTATAGCATGTAGTTTGGTTACAATAGATTGTACAGCTGCTTCCCCAAGTTGTTTTGCACTGCATTCTGAGGATAACTACATATTGGCTTGGATGGAACACTGAAAAGAAATGGAAACTCATTCCTATAAAAGGACTACAATTGTACTTTCCAAGAAAAGTAGTTTGAGTGATTTCCAGTAATTCTTGGGAGAAAACAGAGCAGGGAATATAATCTTAAAACATAATGGGATGGGACACAGGCTTTCAGTAAAGAGGTGGGAAAGTATACTTTTCAAAAAAGAATTCTTTATAAATCCACAAGCTGTGGGGAAAGAAGCTTTGAGAATATTTGAAGTAAAAAGGATAGAAAACAAATGCTCTAATTGTTGGAGCATATTACGGTCACCTGGATGGATTAAGGATACAGAGAAATTATCTTGACAACCATCTCAGAGATTGAATAGAGGAGGAAGAGACTTGAGCTATCCATATAGATGCTGAAAATCTCACCATCTAAAACAACAACAGGAAATTTCTCGGTTCTATGACTTGCAAACTAAGTCTGTCCACAGAGGAATGCCAATCCATCATCCCTCCATTCATTTACTCAATGAATACCTACTGCGTGCCTACTTTGCTTCAGGAACTGGGAATGTAAGAATAAATAAGAAAAAACCTCTGAAATTTAACGTAACAAAATATTGCGGCAAGTACACAAATAGAGGTATGCAACAAGTGGCATGAGAGAGCTCTGCAGGGTGGGGTCTACGAAGCAGACCATGGGAACACAGAGGAAGGCCAGCTAGGCTGGGACCTGAGAGACAGGGATGGAGGTGTGAAGGAAAAGCGTGCTGCCCAGAAGAAATCACATCTCAGAAGCAGAGAGAAGTTTGGTATGGCTGGAACCTCTTTTTTTTTTCTACTGTTGTGGCCTCTCCCGTTGCGGAGCACAGGCT